CTGAGCCTGAGCCTAAGCCTAAGCCTAACGGAAATTGGGGGTATAGCCCAAACCCAAATAGACTTAGTGCTAGGCGCTAGCCGCTAGCCTACGCACTAAGTCCAAGCCTAAGCCTAAGCCTGAGCCTAAGCCTAAGCCTAAGCCTAAGCCTAAGGTTAAAATCATTTGGCGATGATTTTAACCTTTCCATCAATTCGTCCAATCTTTAAACGCAAATTGACCTTTTTTCGCCTCTCAAAAAACGAAAGCACATTTTCTTTTTGCTTTTCGGTCTTGATTAATCTTATTCACAAAAAAAATTTTCCATTTCTCAGAAATCTGTCTATTGATTTAATTCATTTTTTCAAGAATTTTAAAATTCAAAAAGTTTAAAGAAAAAAAACTAGCATTTAACACTAATCACCGCCTTTTCGATGACTCCAAAATGGCAATTTCGCAAATTTCGTTCTGTTTTTGGAGTAAATTTTTGAATTACACTCAATGAACTCAGAAAGTGGGTGCGATCTTTGAATGGGCCTCAAATAACTTTTGATCTTTTTCGATTTCCACAAAAATTAGGAAGTCTGATGACGTAGAATGGCTTGAAATAGTTTAGCCGAAGATTCAAGCCATTTTTCGTTTTAGCTTTCTGCACTTTTTTCCTTTCTCTTCACCTTGTATTTCCTCTTTTTTCTCGCGCCAGCAGGTACAGAATAGCTCAGTGTTTAGAGTGTCTGGAGCGAAGAGCGAAGGAAAAAAGGTGGAGGGTTCGATCCCTCTCTGGAAATCTTTCTTTGTCATTCCTTATTTTACTTTATTTTTCGATTTTTATATCTCCAGCTAACTCCAAAGATTTTTAAGCTTATTTTCTCTCGAGCCGGGTCTAATTAGCCCGATTTTTGAGCAGACTTAGATCTAGGTGAAGCCAGCCAGCTTTTTAGGTGAAGCCAGCTAGACCAGACGCTAGATTCAGGTCTTCCAAAAGCATCTGGCTGAACATCCAGCTGTACTTTGTGCTCAAAAATGGAAGCGCATCCTTTCTGGCACACTCAAAGCAATGCTTTGGCAGGAAAACGGAAAATCAAGTGTAGAAAGGATGTGTAATGAGTGATTTAAGCGCAAAGTACACTCGAGTTTGTCAAAGCAGCATTTGATCTCTGGAAATCTTTCTTTTTCATTCATTTTTCGATTTTTATGGCTCCAGCTATGGGATGATCATTTCACCTGATGATTTGGTTAGAAATTCCCTTCAAATGTAAAGATCTTGAATTTACCGTATTTTCTCTAATAGTAGTGCACCCAGAGCGTCACCTAAATTCCTCTAAATCTCGAGAACCGCTTATTAGAACCTATCGATGTGGGGTCGGAAAATGTAGCTGACGATGAGATCTGGTGGGGGATTTGAGGTGTTGAGCTTCTGGGAAAGATTGGGAACTGTAAAATAGTCACCAACTCGGCTCGGCCGGGCCGAGGGAGAGAGGGCGATACTATTAGAGAGAATACCGTATTCTCTCTAATAGAAGTTCACCCTGAGCGTTGCCTAAATTGCTCGAAATCTCGAAAAGCGCTTATAAGAACCTATCGATGTGGGGTCGGAAAATGTAGCTGACGATGAGATCTGGTGGGGGATTTGAGTGTTGAGCTTCTGCGAAAACTTAGAAACCGTAAAATAGCGATCAACTCGGCTCGCCGCGGTGCACTACTATTAGAGAAAATACGGTACTCGTCGTGTAAAGAGGATTACTCGTAGTTACTCGACCAAAAAAAAGCGTCGATTAATCGAGTAAAAATTTAGTCATGCAAATTTTACTCGAGTAATTTACTTACTCGCAAAGAAAACACTCTATTCATAAAGGCTTCTGTAGCTCATAAAGACTGTAAATAATATGGGGGAATTTCCTAGAAATTGGCTCGGATGGGTTGAGTGAAGTGTTTTGAAAAAGCAAAAATATTCAATGATGTGAAAGATTTGCGAAAACCCGAAGTAAACATTTTAATCCTTTTGTTTTTTGATTAAAATAACTTTTAGATTTTAAAACTACTACAAGTTACCGTAATTTTCTCGTTTTTTATTCTTTTCTTTTCTTTTCAAACAAAATTGAAATAAATTTCCCTTTTTAATCGGTTAAAGATTGGGGTTTTTAAGAAAAATTCGACTTTTTGCTTATTCAAATTTCAAATTTAAATCCCAAATGGTCCATTTGCTTCTTGAGGAAATTGGAGATTTTCACTGCTTTTTTTTTTTTGGCTATTTACGTAATTGATATCCGGGTACAATATATTGATTGATACTTTATTCAGGACATGAAATAAAGCGTAATCAGTCAGACAATACACAAATCTACACATAAATACATAGAGAAAGATGAGATATTTTACTCGGCGATGTGGAGGCGGGGAGAAAAGAAGATAGATAGAAGATAGGCTTCTTGCTTTAATAACCTCAGGCCATGAATGGGCCAACCCAGTGGAAGAGTGAACTCCGCTAGAGAAGGGATCTCTAGTCAGCTCTAGAGAAGACACCTCTAGTCTGGGCGCACGGGCTAGGGAAGAGAACCCTAGGGGAGCCGAACCCCACACCCTCAGTTTGGAAGTGAGAACTTAACCAATACACCATGAGGGCTCAAATTTAAATCCCAAATGGTCCATTTGCTTCTTGAGGAAATTGGAGATTTTCACTGCTTTTTTTTTTTTTTGGCTATTTACGTAATTGATATCCGGGTACAATGAGGCTAAAATCTCTTTTTTTTTTGTTTCTTTCTTTTTTTTAGATTATTTGCTCTGCTCTGAGCATAAAAAGGTTTTGTATATAGCTAGAGAGAAATTCATTCAGCCAACTACCTGGTAGAGGTTTTTAGAGATTTTTTTACCGTGTTTTCACGCTCAACTTGGTGCTGAAAGTCTCCAAATTGATGCTAAAGATGGGAATTGAACAAATAAACACTTTTTATTGAGAAAAAAGAAAAGATTAATTGTGGTGAGTTTGTTATTTTTCAAAAAGAAAGTATGAAAAGGAAACGAAAAGTCTCTGGACAGCTTAAGAACAGCGTTTCAGAAAGAGCTACCGTACTATTGATCTATCGTACTACTGATCTATCGTACTACTGATCTATCGTACTATTGATCTATCATACTATTGATCTATCATACTATTGATCTATCGTACTACTGATCTATCGTACTACTGATCTATCGTACTATTGATCTATCCGTACTATTGATCTATCGTACTACTGATCTATCGTACTACTGATCTATCGTACTATTGATCTATCGTACTACTGATCTATCGTACTACTGATCTATCGTACTACTGATCTACCGTATCTATATCGTAATCTATAAGAAGCTACTGTACCAGCTGTCTTTTCGTTTTAAACAAGCGAAAGTCGTCGGGACTACGGTAGCTTTTAAAGAATCACAGAGTTCAGAGAGCTTAAAAAGCTCAAGAATGCAGTTTAGAGCTTTGCTCTTTGTATTTTAAAAACTATCAAAGAAATCATTCATTTTTATGACATGCAATTTCGACAATTAGTCTGAAAATTTTGAGGACAAATTGAGGCCTTTTTTTTGTTCAAAAATTTCCCATAGAGTGTTTTGGTCGAAGGGGAAAATAATGAGCTCTCATTTTTTTTTGCTCACAATTTCTTTGCTCACTTCTTTGCTCTATACATTGGCCGTTTTTTTTTGTCTTTTAGCAAGTCTTACTATCAAACAAATCATTCGATCTCTCTTTTATATTCAAATTTGAATTTTGAACTTAATTTTTGGATACTTTGTGGTGTATTTTGTGCCCAAAAATGACTGAAACATAAATCCTTTCTGAATTTCAATGAATTCCCCATTTTTCTCGCAGTTTATTTCTCATCTAGATGTGAAAAATGAAGAATTCAGTGCATTAGAAAGAGCATAAATTTCAAGCACAAAGTACACGTGTACAAAGTAAAAAGTATTCTCAGCTTTTTTTTATTTATTTCATTCACTTCTTTGATAAATGTTTTTGAATAATTTGGAAAATTTTGGAAAATTTGGAAAATTGAACTCTCAAATCTCAAAATGAACAAAACGAGAAAAACGAAGGAAAATCGCGAAAAGCGGCGGAAAGGCTATTGATCTGGGGGGGGGATAATTACGGTAGTCTAACCGAAATAAGTGCACAGGAGAAATCTTATGATGAGTTGGCATCTGTTTCCCCATTGACTACTACCAAAAACCTCTTTTGAGAGAAGCTCGGCTCTAGTTGGGTCTATTAGACTCAAAACTTCAAAGAAAAAAGTTTTTGATGTTGTTAGAAGGCTTTTTTCAAAAAACGAGAAAAACGAAGGAAAATCGCGAAAAGCGGCGGAAAGGCTATTGATCTGAGGGTCGCTGGTTCGACTTCCACCGGTGTCAATATTTTTCAAAAATTTCTTGCTAAGATTCTGAAAATGCGTGTCTAGGGGTTATCTTGGACGCTGATCACGAAACACATGTTTTTAGCCTAGGTTTCTGCACGGAAAACTAACGAAACGTGAAAACAGCCATTTTTTTCTTGGCTCTGCCGCCCTTTCCTAAAATAGTTGTAAAAACTTTTAGAAAAGAGATATCTCAAAACGGTTTTTACCAATCGATCCGTCTTGAATTCAGCTTTAGGATCAGCTATAAAACGTCAAAATTCGACAAATTTAAGGTACTCTCCCAAAAAATCGGAAAGGACTTTTCCACCAACCCAATATTTTGTGCTCAAAAATGACTCAAACATAAACCATTTCTAGCGCAATGAATTCCCCATTTTTCTCGCAGTTTATTTCTCATCTAGATGTGAAAAATGAAGAATTCAGTGCATTAGAAAGAGCATAAATTTCAAGCACAAAGTACACGTGTACAAAGTAAGAAGTATTCTCAGCTTTTTTTTAAATTTATTTTATTCACTTCTTTGATAAATGTTTTTGAATAAACTTTGTGGAAAACTCTCAAATCCATTTAACTTTGAATTCTCAAATCCATTTAGTCAATTCAATTTTCGTATTCCTGAATGAGAAATGGTTTACGGGGATAAAATCATCACTGTCTACTATCGACCGGATCTCGTCTTTTTGTTATCGGTTTGTTCTGGATAATGTTTTGGATTTTCGATAATTGATAATTGACAAACAGAAATGTTATTGTCAGAAGATAGTTTAGACTAACAGTCCAACAGTAAAGCCAAAGCTGTTCGCTAGATCAGGCTTTTGGTGCTGGCTTCTGGTTGAATAAGAAATGAATGGAAAAGAAATGAAGGGGGAATTGAAGCGTCAATCTTTTGCTTACCGAATGCTGATGCTGAGCTATCTTTTCCAAAGAAAAAATAGGAAAGACAAGGAAAAAGAAAGAAAGGAAGAAAGAGATCAACTGTATTTTTGACTTTAGCTTATTTTGCGACTTCAGGAATCAGAGTTTTTGTGAGTCAAGTTGTTTGTGAGTCAAAAATACAGTTGATCACTTTCTTCCTTTCTTTCTTCCTTTCTTTCTTCCTTTCTTTCTTTTTTCCTTTCTTTCTTTCTATCTTCCTTTCTTTCTTCTTTCTTGTCTTTCCTATTTTTTCTTTGGAAAAGATAGCTCAGTGGTAGAGCTTTGTTAAAGTCAAGTTCGGTCTATGGCAAAGTCAATAAACCAGGGAAAACCTGGGCTTGGTTTTCTGAACGAATACTATTATCTAAGTTTATGTACAGCACGTAAAAGATCTTTAAAATGATTGATTTCCCATTTTAGCTTCTACAATGTTTCCTCAACGTGCTTCTCGTGTTTTGGATTCGTTTATATTTGAAGATTTTGTGCAAATCGTCGGTGAGTTTAAAAAAATGGGGGTTTTTTTCATTTTTTGGAAAGTTCTTCAAGTTCTTAATGACACGTAGGCCGTTTTTTTAAAAAAATGTTTTTCTAGTCGAAAACAAAGTTACTCATAATTCTAACAATGTGTAAGAATGAAAATATCTGTGGGAATTAATTCAATCTTTTCTTTCAATCTTTTAATTGAATTCATTTTGCTGTATTTTCTAGAGAAACTTTGATCAGAAATGTTTGAAAAATTAAAAAAATGAAAAAAATGGAAAAAATTCAAATGCAATTCAAACTTAAAGGCAGTAAAGCACGAGTTATAAAATGCTCGAAGCTAAAATGCCTAAGCTCGAATCGATTTCCTCGACTGCGAAAACTACCGTCTACAAATTTACACCTGAATATCTTTTGTCAGTTACAATTTAAAAGAAAAATCCCCATGTAAAAGAGCAAGGTGTTCTTTGTGCGAGCCCACAATCGCTCTCCATCTGGCACACGTTCCCAATAGATAGTTGTTCCTTTTTCGGCAACTGGAATCCAAAGGGCCGGTCGGAGTCGGAGCCATTCTCCTTTTCTTTAGGTTCTTTGTGCGAGCCCACAATCGCTCTCCATCTGGCACACGTTTCCAATTGTTCCTTTTTCCCCGACTGGAATCCAAAGGGCCGGTCGGAGTCGGAGCCATTCTCCTTTTCTTTAGGTTCTTTGTGCGAGCCCACAATCGCTCTCCATCTGGCACACGTTTCCAATAGATAGTGGTTCCTTTTTCCCCAACTGGAATCCAAAGGGCCGGTCGGAGCCATTCTCCTTTTCTTTTGAGTCTGCAGAAACCCCTAGAATCCATTTTTCCCTTTAATTTGGCTGTATTTTCCCTCAAATTCTAGATCCTGCAAAACCATTGTTACTTAAACAGCAGCTAAATTGATAGAACCATACGATCAATGAGTTTTGTCTATCGATTTTCTCAAGCTTTCCTTAGTTTCAAACCTTTATTACCGTATTTCTTATAATCGTAGTGCGCACTACTATTTTTTCAACCCCCCTCCAGCCTGCACTATTATAGACTGCACTACTGTTACAGACTGCACTACTATTACAGAAAATACGGTAAGTACTAGTCTGTAAACATGGTTCCTTATCTCCCTGAATTTCGTTCCTTATCTCTCTAAATTTGGTTCCTTATCTCTCTAAATATCTTGAAGGCTAGATTTGCCTCTATTTTTCAGAAAAATTTAGAAATAACAACGAAAACAGTTGAATTATTATAGTTAGATTGATTTCTCCAAGAAATCGATTGCAGGCTTGTCACCCGAATCTCCTCGTTCTCCTCTCCTCTCAACCGCTCATTCATCTCGTTGCATTGACAGCGAAAACGATTCGTTTCCTCGCCGAATGTGCCGGCCTTATCACCACTCCTTTCCTCACCGCAATCAATTTCATTTCGGATATTGGTGAGTCAAGAATTACTCTATGCCTCAATGACTTTTTTTGTCTTTCGATTTATCCCTTTACTTACGCAATTTTGATTACATTAAGAAGATTAGGATTTAGACGAGAAAAACTTGAGAGAAGTCATTCTAATCTCGAATTTTCAACGAGCAAATACCGTATTTTTTCGAATAGAAGACCGGGTAAAGAGTATCATCGCGTACTCCTGCGTAGCAGCCCTTTTTAAAATTTCTTTTCTGCATAAAAGCTTTCAATGAAGTGCTATAGGGCTGGAAAATGACTCAAAAATACCACATGAGCTAACAGATTTTTGAACCATTTTCCAACCAGACAGTTTAGAGACGATTTCCCTCAAAGAAAAAAAACCATTTTCTTTTCAAAAAAGTGTCCTTGGAGACAAGCGACCGTATTCTTTTAGGTTTAGAGCTACTGTTGTCGTATTTACAGAGACACTACCCTACCGTACTACCGTAGTCACAGAAAGGATTTCTTTTCAGGCCTATCCGCTACCTGCGTCATCGTACTTGGCTACTGTATCGAGAGAATCGTTGCAATGAGAAATATCGAGTCCTACGAGTTGATGTTTCGACCGATTCCGTGGCTTGGCATCGGGATTTTAGCAACATCTGTAAGCTTTTGTCAATTATAGCTTTATGATACTAATCAAAAGATCTAAAAGGTAGACAATAGAGATACAATAGCCGTTAATACAAGAAATTTTAACGAGAAAGCTGAATGTCTTTTGTTTAAAAGATGTTCACAAGAGAAGGTGAACTGGCTGAGTTATGCTACCGTAAATACTGTAATAGTACCCCACTCCCCTCGCACAGTCGCGTAGTCGCAAAAGTTTTTTAGTATTTCATTTTTTTCAAAGCGCCCGTACTTTCAAAAAATGCGTCTTTGGTATCAAAAAATAGCTGAAATTCAGGGCTATTTTTTGACACCTAAGCGCGCATTGTAGCATAAACCAGTGTCGAGAAAAACTCGTTCAAAGCTAGACTACGCAACACTTTGCACCGTCATTATGGGGGTGGGAGACTATTACAGTACTTACGGTATGCGACTTATCCCATTTGACGCTCATTCCCAAGTATTCCGTTTTTGCTAAATGAAAATCTGAAGCTATAAGCCTCTAAAGTTTTGTTAGGAAAATGTGGTTGTTTGGGTGTTAGCGGCCTCCTTGCGAGGCCGATCCGGTGCAGCCGTGGCCGAGTGGTACAACGTTCGTTTCCAAAGCCAAACCTCGCGAGTTCGATCCGCGTTTTGGTTTTTTGTTTTGCTTTTTTCAAGAAGAGAATATATATATTCGAAATCAGCATCAGAAATTGCATAGCATTTCGCCAGCTCAGCCATTTCTCTTTCCCTTGCCAGTTCAGATCCAGGCTCAGCCATTTCTCTTTCCCTTGTCAGTCAGATCCAGGCTGTTAGAAGCTCTGAAACCGTATCCAATTTGATAAACTTGACAAATCTAGTCATATTCAATAGTTGGCTAGGAAATGCAAATCGAATTTTCCAGCTAGTCTACGCGACAGTACTCTTGTCGTTATGGTATCAGCAAATCTTGAAGAGTCGAGTGATTTATGTGGCTCAAATTGGGCTTTTCTCGTGCTCGGGATTGGTGAGCGCTTTTAAAAACTCACAGACTCAAATATTGAATATCAAAAACAATTGCAAACATTTCAGTTCTTCATTGGGATTAAAATAAACGCAAATCGGGCATACGAGAGAATGGCGAAGTATCGATATTCGAGTGTCAATCAAAGGTTTGTACTTTGAGCCACAAAAAATCGCTAACGCAACCCTTCTGGCGCACTCGAATCCAACAAGAAATTGAGAAATCAGTGCACCAGATGGGTCAGTGTTTCCACAAAGTACACAAGATTCTATTGGAAACATTGGACATCCAATTTTTTCGATTGAAAAACTTTCAGATATCAAACGGCAATGAATTTCAAAGCGGCCAAGCTATTGCTTTATTTGGCTCCATACAAATGTATCTCCTCTCTTCTAATCCTTGTCTCTTATGCTTTTGTCTACGATCGAACAAAAGATCAATTACTTCCATTGTACACCGAATTCTTTTTCCTCTACAATTATGCTCAAGTGAGTGAGCTGTAGAATGTTCTGTAGAACTTTTGTAGAACTTTTGTAGAACTTCTAGTTCGTTCGTTTTAGAGTTCGTTTTAGAGGTTTAATTAAAAGAAAACTCGTTCTACAGAACGTTCTGTAGAACTTCTGTAGAACTTTTGTAGAACTTTTGTAGAACTTCTGTAGAACTTCTGTAGAACGTTCTGTAGAACTACTGTAGAACGTTCTGTAGAATGTTCTGTAGAACTTCTGTAGAACTTTTGTAGAACTTTTGTAGAACTTCTGTAGAACTTCTGGAGAACGTTCTGTAGAACGTTCTGTAGAACGTTCTGTAGAACTTTTGTAGAACGTTCTGTAGAACTTCTGTAGAACTTCCGTAGAACTTCTGTAGAACTTCCGTAGAACTTCCGTAAAACGTTCTGTAGAACTTTTGTGGAACTTTTGTAGAATGTTCTGTAGAACGAGTTTTCTTTTAATTAAACCTCTAAAACGAACTATAAACTAACTTATAAGTGAACAGTAGTTATAAAAGTGACACTTGACGGTCAAAAGGTCATGTTCACTTTGAAAATTACTCAATATAACTCAGCAAAAAACCTACCAAAACTTTATAGAGGCACAGACTTTCTAACAGCTTTAAAGCTATTATTAATAGAAAATTTACAATCATCAATATTTAGGTGTCTTTACAAATTCTCTTGGTGCTCTTGTGTCATTCAACGTTGCGCCGCTTGCTCTTTGAGACATTAGCAATTGAGAAAGTGGTGAGTTAAAGCCTCACAAGTAAATTCTATAGAGTTCTAGTTAGATCTGATTTAGTTTTTTTTAGTTTATATAAAAAGTAGGATAGAGAGTTATAATTAAACCAGAAATCTAGTCCTGGTCTGGTCTCTGGCTTTGCTGAGGAATTTTCCTGGTCTTTAGCAAGTTCTAGCCAAGTTCTGGTCTTGCCTTGCCTGGCCTGGCCTGGCTTACAAGCTCTAGAACCTGCTTGGGAGAATCTTGAACCTGTATAGTGGCGCTATAGTACCCAAGTATCCAAGTTTCCAAAAAAGTTTCTTATCTTTTCACCAGCCGAAAAGCAATAGTCACGACAGAGTCGGGAGTCGAACTCGGATCATGTGAGCTGAGCGTGCGGGCTGTAGACAAGCGCGCTCCCGACTGCGCTACGGTGACGAGCGATATCTGGCAAGGGATATCCGGTTTTGTGATCGGATAGTCCTCGTCGCTATGGCGCAGTCGGGAGCGGGCTTGTCTACAGCCCACACGCTCAGCCCACAGCGGGCTTGTCTACAGCCCACACTCTCAGCCCACAGCGGGCTTGTCTACAGCCCACACGCTCAGCCCACAGCGGGCTTGTCTACAGCCCACACGCTCAACCCACAAGCTCCTAGTTCGACTCCCAACTGTGTCGTGACTATGGCTTTTTAAAAAAACGAAATATCAGATGAACAACTACATAGAATTCTAAGGTTAACAAACTAAAAATGATGTAAATCGGCTTACGGAGAGCCGAGAACTCGTACAGATGGACAGACATCTAGTAGATCTTCAAATTCAAAAGGTCACGTTTTTAGCGAAAACGCAAAGTGAGTGACTTGTGCGTTCGATCGGTGACCGGCTCACGATTGCAATTCCCCTCAAACGATGCCACCGATCTCTACTTTGCCACATTAAATAAAGCGTGGGAGTTCCACGATTCGATGAAATCCCAAATCGAGCAGACGGAAATCCCGAAAAAGCAATCGATCGCCTCAAGACCTCATAATGAAGATATTTATAAAGTATAAATATTTGATGACTTTATTTAATGAATTTTATTTATTTGATGATTTTCTCTTTTCTTCTCTCTTTCTCTTTCTCTTTCTCATCGAGATTCCATGCAGCACAAATCTCGGACACGCATCCAGAAGCAACAGTGGCTCTACCACGAGGATCATGTTCCTGAAAAAAATCTATTAGAAAGCATTCGTTTTTACTTTTAACACATAATAAACTAATAAAAAAACAAAACCTGTTGTCCGCCAAGTATCCGCTGCACAACGTATTTCGTCATCGTGTAATTCTCGTCGAATGCCTGAATGCCGTCACATGCCTGAATATCTTGAGCTAGTTAGTTAGTTATCTATTGAAGCCGAGCAATCAGAAGTTAGTTCTTAAGGAAAATGTTCAAGGACTTCAACTGTTGGGCAAAAATGCAATCAACAAGTCGGTCGAGAAATTTCGAGAAGGCTAGGGTTCGAATCTTGCAATGGTTCTTTTTGAAAAGCTGTTTCTTTTTCTTTTTCTTTTTCTTTTTTCTTTCTCCTTCTCCTCTCCTTCTCCTTCTCCTTCTCCTTCTCCTTCTCCTTCTCCCTCTCCTTCTCCTTCTCCTTCTCCTTCTCCTCTCCTTCCCTTCTCCTTCTCCTTCTCCTTTCCCTCCCTCTCCTTCTCCTTCTCCTTCTCCTTCCCTCTCCCTCTCCTTCCCTTCTCCTCCTCTCCTTCTTCCCTCTCCTTCTCCTCTCCTTCTCCTTCTCCTTCTCCTTCTCCTTCTCCTTCTCCTTCTCCTTCTCCTTCTCCTTCTCCTTCTCCTTCTCCTTCTCCTTCTCCTTCTCCTTCTCCTTCTCCTTCTCCTTCTCTATTTGATGACTCTTTTTACTCAAAAGTTGCCCCATTGGGATTTCAATATTTATTCACTAATTGCTGGAGATCAAAAGGTTCCAATTAAGGATTGAAATCAAATATTTCAACCAAATATTTCAAACAAATATTTCAAAATTTTAAAAATGAAATGTTTATTCTGCGATTTCTTCAACTTGTTGCGTTTGTGGTTGAACAGTTTTATGCTCGAAAAATGAGGCGAATGCCAGCGCCACGCAAATGTATGCGAGCACAGAGTAGAGAAAGTTGAAGAGAGTCCAGAGGAAGTGATCTACACAAAGTTTGGTGCCTTTAGAAAGTTTTTTATTTGTTATGGCTTACTCATACACGCCTCCAACTCCGTGTTGTACAGAACGAGCATGTATGCGTACAACATGATGATCAGGATCTGAAATTTCGTTCGATTTCTGATTTCAATTCTGATTTCAAAGATTGCGGATCGCTCCAACTACGAAAAATCAATAGCATTTACAACTCAGACCTAGTGTTGAACATTGAACGCAATTTTTGGCTTTGGCAAGTTTCTGGCTTAAATTTACCTTACCTTGCCTGTCCTAGCTTTGCTGTTTCAGCCAAGAAAAGTCCCTGGAAGTCCCTGGACTAGGAGCCAAGCCAGAACCTGGTTTTTTTTGTCTTTCGCTCGAAACAATACGCCAAAAAAAGCGTCTGGATGCGATTCCAAATACCGTATTTCTTCGAATAGAAGACCGTAAAGGAGTATCATCGCGCACTCCTGCGTAGCAGCCCTTTTTAAAATTTCTTTTTTTGCATAAAAGCTTTCAATGAAGTGCTATAGAGCTGGAAAATGGCTCAAAAATACCACATGAGCTAACAGACTTTTGAGCCATTTTCCAGCTCTCTAGCACTTGATTGAAAGCTTTTATGCAGAAAAGAAATTTTAAAAAGGGCTGCTACGCAGGAGTACGCGATCATACTCTTTACGCGATGATACTCTTACTCTTTGTTCAAAGTGAAAAAAAAAAACAATATGTAATACAACGGGTGTTCTATATGAGATCACCAGTGGAGTGGTTTCATTTTTTCTCATCCATCGATTATCTGAACCGTTTTTAAGGAGCTATCGAGCTATACAAGTACGCTTGAAACTCAATTCTAATATTAAATGCGTGTTTGAAAGGAATCCGATAGCTGGCTTAGTAACTTTCACACAGAAGAACAGAAGAATTAAGTTAATAGATAATAATAATAATAATAATAATAAAAAGAATAATAATAAGAATAATAATAATAATAATAATAAGAATAATAATAATAAGAATAATAATAATAATAATAATACCTTTGTAATGAGATACGGTACGAGAAAACGAGCGGCTTTTTGGAAAACGATCGTCAACCCAATGCTGACTCCGATAAAAAGCGAGAACTCGACGGCGAAACTCGCTTTTTCCATTCGATAATGCGGACAGAACACTGAAATTTTGCATGGCTTTAAAGCTTAAAAATATAATACTAATAATAACAATAATACTATTTTAAAATTTCAATCAAAAAGCTTCGATTTTCTTGAATTCAAACCCTATTCTTTACTTGATTCGGCTTCGGTTTTTCGCGGGTTCACATTAACGAGATGAACGCTAAAAATTTGATTTTTAAGGAATCTTCATTATCTTATATTATTCAATATTGATATTTGAATTTTAAAAGATTTACATTTAAATTTTCATTTACATTTAAAATCCTAGTCTCTTCATTACTGTCTTTTCATTACTGTCTTTTCATTACTGTCTTTTCATTACTGTCTTTTCATTACTGTCTTTTCATTACTGTCTTTTCATTACTGTCTTTTCATTACTGTATTTTCATTACTGTCTTTTCTTCTTTACCTAAGGTGTTTCATTGCAGTGAAAGCAGCTCGCAGAAAGTCCAAAAAGAGAAAGATCACACACCACAAATAGATATTCAGGCAAAAGATCGTTCGACTGTACTCTTCTGCAAATATTTTCTTGGTCTTATAGTTTCTTGGTATTATATAAACTTATCAACAAACTTATTCAAACCCAGATCAAGAGAAAACTTTTAACTGCAAACTTCTCTCTTTAGCTATGCCGATTTCAGCCTGTACTTTGTGCTTAAAGCTTAAAGCTTAAAGCACACTTTCTGGCACACTCAACGTATCATTTTACTTTAAAATTGTTAGAATCGGGTGCACAATTTTTCGCTGCTGTATTTGGCTTTTGCAAAATCGCGAGGAATCTGGTAAAAACATTCTTAACGGCTTTCATAAGGCACCGATCAGCCGCAACGATGGCCGAGTGGTAGTTGCGAGTGGCAGTTGCGGCTGATCGGTGCCTTATGAAAGTCGAGTGGTAGAGTGCTCGCATCCAAGCTTGAATCCAAGCCAAGCCGATGAATTTGTGCTCGCAGTTTCGAACCCTCTCGCTTTTTCTTTTTGGAAAACCGATTTTAGCTCAACTTGACGACGGAATGACGCGAAATCGCGAGGAATCTGGCAAAAAATGTTTTTGGGATATAATCTTAAGGGAAGCAGGTACTGCAATGGTGACCGAGTGGTAGAATGCTCGCATACGAGTCTATTGCTTGCAGGTTCGAATCGTTTTACCTTTTCTTTCTTGGTTTTCTTTGAAAAATCTATTTTAGATCAACTTCAGCAATCTCGATCCTCAGTTTCAGCTTAAAAAAATCAACTTTTCAAATAATTTTTTACCAAAATGACATCAAATTTTGCTTGATTTATTGGGTTGTCCAGTTATTGGACAACCCAACACCAACAAAATTTGAGCTCAAAGTTAGCTTGCTAATGGGAAAAGGGGTGGATGGCTGATAACCTATTGGGTTGTCCAGTTATGAAGGCGCGTTTTTTACTATTCTGTAAATTTCTCAAGATACCGAAATCAAGAAAAAGATATATATATGAGTATTATTCGAAAGCTGAAGATCTCCTCTACATTTTGATATAAAAAGCTTTTGAATTTGTCCAGCTTTTGGGCAAATTGACTGCACAGAAGAAGAGGTGGCCAAAAAATGGAAGGGTGCCTTTGGATCAAGTTTTGGCTCCGCTCAAATTGAGTTAACCGCTTGATGTTTGGCCAATAGATATATCAGTACAACTTTTTTAAAATATAACAATTTCAGAGCATCTTTACTTTTCTTTTCTTTTCTGGGCGGTTATTTTACAGCATAAAACTTGAGGAATAGCTAAGCTGGAATGGGTTTTTTTTTTTTGGAAAACGACCTCTCCCTTTTGTGCAGTCAATTTCCCAAAAAGTTGAATGAATTCAAAAACTTTTTTTATTCCCAAAATGTAGAGGAGATCTTCAGCTTTCGAATGATATATAACACTCATATACATCTGTTCGATATCTTGAGAAATTTACAAAATAGTACAAACGCGCATTCATAACTGGACAACCCAATATTTTATCGATTATTTTCACGTTTGTTGGTTTTTCCTATATTGTAAACCTAACTTTTTCTAGGCTATCTTATTTTTTTGTCATAAAAATCGTTTTCATTGAAAGAAACGGTCAAAATCTTGTCGAAAATCGAAACTTTTTTGTTTTTCAACACTCGGCTTCTTGCTAATGAAAAACTTTAAAAACAAAGCTTTTCATAAACTTTTAAAAGTCATTTTCAAGAGAAATGAGTTGGGCTGTTTAATAAAAAACCGTGTTTCATTTGGTAGCTTGAAACTTATTCAATTGAAAAATGAATTTGAGTGAAAAACTTCGTACTCAAACTAATAGCCATATATTAGGTTGATACGCTTTAAAGCCGGACAACCAACTGTTCCCCGTGCATCCCTCAATGCCACCATTGCACTGAAAAACATGTGAAATTTTTCGATACACTGTAAAATTTGAATATGCTTTAATCTAGATATTTAGGAGAAAATATTGTGCTAAATATTTAGCGCCACCTTTTCGATTTCCATTCAAGATTATTTACAGCTAAACCTCGTTTAAAAGTGAAGAAAACGTGAAACGACAGAAAAGTGCTAATTTCGCTTAGTTGTTCTTTGAATACCATTTTCTTCGCAAATTTTATTATATTAGGTTGATGCATAAGTGTTTTTGTTCCTTTTCGTCTGCCGTTTCAAGCCAACAAATGCACCAATTAAACTACGGTTGATTTCATTAGAAAAACCAATTATTTTTCTGCAAAATAACATTAAAACGGGTTTAAAAATATTTAATGCCTGGATTTTCTTGAGAGTATGAAGTCGGGTAGTCAAAAAGGGCTAACTCGATGATGCGGTTTAGACACCTTAGCTAAAGAAAACCTATCTTCGTGTCAATAGATAAAAGATAGAGAAAAAAAACGTTTGATATTTCGCCAAAATTTCAGAGAAATTCATTCAGCCAATTTTTCCGTAGAGTTTTTTATAGATTTTTACGAAAAAGGCGTTTTTCACTCTCGAATTTGCTTGAAAGTGAACCGAAATTCATTTAAAAAGATGCAAATTGAACAAAAAAACACTTTTTTTATAGAGTAAACTATAGATTAATTGGCGAATTTGTTACTTTTTAACAGAAGTACGAAAAAAACGAAAAGACTTATGCATCAACCTAATATTTTAAAACAAACCACTGTGAAACCCGATTCATTAAAAGAAAAGGTCCAAATTGCATCATCGGACCTTGTCGCTTTTGAACACTCGGCTTTTTGCTAATGAAAAACTTTCAAAATAAAGCTTTTCAGAAACTTTCAAAAGTCATTTTTAAGAGAACTGATTGGGCTGTTTAATAAAGAAACCGTGTTTCATTTGGTAGCTTGCGACTTATTCAATTAGCAAATGAATTTGAGTGAAAAACTTCGTACTCAGCCTAATAAAACAAAAATATTTACCTTGTAAAAACCAAAGAAATCCCATCTTTATTGGCGTTTCTTTAAGATCAACGGAGGTGGAAAAGGAGCGCAGAATGGCGTAGTTCTTCACAGACATCAAGATTATAGTATCCTTTTTCTAAAAGACGGGTAATTTGGAAAGCTTTCATAATCAAGATTTCATTCAATCAGCCAAAGCAAATTTCAGGGGTAAGCTAGTTTCCTCAACTTTTTTTGCGCAACTGGGTCATTTGCGCAACTCGCCATAACTTTCTTCTAAGTGAACCAATCTTTATGGTTTTGGTCTCACTTTGTAGATCTCAATAAGTGCAACAAAATGAGACCAAAAGCATAAAGATTAGCCCACTTAGAAGAAAGTTATGGTGAGTTGCGCAAACGACCCAGTTGCGCAAATGACCCAGTTGCGCAAAAAAAGTTGCGGAAACTAGCCTACCCCAAATTTCATTCGACAAGGCTTGGTCAAAAAAAAACGCATAACTTTTGGAGGAACTTCCTTTAAACAAACAAATATCGTATAATAGCTTGATAAATGTAATATCAAAGATCTAAACGTATAACCGAGTATCCAATATTGATATTGGCTTGAGCTGAGGTCAGCTGTTAAGTCATCAACTGAAAAAGTGACATTTGCTCATTCATCGATCATTTTCATACCACATTTTGACGTCTTGCAGCTCAAAGAATAGAAAGGAATGGATGATTTTTGAGGGTAAAATTTTGCAGAAAAATCCTTTTAACTATCTATTAGTCAAGTGTTCGATTTCCTATCTACCTTTTCTCGTACAGTAAACGTACAGTAATGTCTTTAGTCTACAAGGCTATCGTTATCGTCGCTGAAAAGTACAGTATTCTCTGTAAGTGAACTTTTAGAACTTAAAACTCAAATCATTGCTGAAAAGAGTAAAAAAGAATCAGAGAAAGTAAACAAATTTATATTTCATTTTTAAAATCAGGTTCTATTGGGTTGGTGAATTGAAAACTGCCGGCTATTGTCATATGTGACAGTTTGAGCACTTTCTTCAAAAGAAACCCATTTTGGTGTCAATGGAAAAGTTGTAGAGAATCAAAAATCAAGCTTATATCCAAATTTTCAGAACGATTCAAAAACTGGTTTTCAAGAAATGCCAAATTTACGAATTTTCAGAAAACTTGCATTTTAAGCGAAACTACTAAGTGTATCTTTTTGCAAATTTGGCTATAAGCCTAATTTTTGATTCTCTACAACTTTTCTATTGACACCAAAATGGGTTTCTTTTGAAGAAAGTGCTCAAACTGGTCCTCCATTTTTGTTTCCAGCCTCCAGTCCTCCATTTTTGAGTCTCACACTTGTCTCACACACAAACCAAAATCCTACTACGAAAGAGGAATCCGCAAATTGCCTGTAAAATGGGCAGAAGTCGTCAATAATCATTGTAGCATAAACCAGTGTCGAGAAAAACTCGTTCGAAGCTAAACTACGCAACACTCCGCACCGTCATTATGGGGGTCGGGTACTATTACAGCATTTACTTACGAAAATCTTTTCCAAGCCTGCACACGCACGGGGATTTCTGAGAAGGATTTCGTGGCGAAACGCTGCGAGATGTTCCCGATAGAATGGGTGGTGAGAAAAGTGGCGATCTGAATTAGATCGCGTTTGAATTAGAAATGGTCTTGATAGAAAATCTATCTTAAAACGTTGTGCTAATGTTTTATATGAAAGTTAGACTACGAATACTTATTTTTATATGAAAGTTAGTGTTTTATCGACGTTTTTCTGTTTTCAACAAGCATATTGTTTATGAAGTGAATAGCTCTCGAGCTTCGGTTTTCCAAGAGATTTAAATCTTTCTCCTTATGTGTTCATCTCGAGCAGGGCTTTCAAAAAGAGAAACTTCTCAAAGTCTCTTCGGCAATTCTTTTCTTTCCAATCCATCCCCCTAACCGGAATCCCAATTGTGAAATGGCTTTTAGTGGAGATCTCCTTTTCTTTCACTCCATTCACTGACCGGTGCTCCTTCTCACATAACCTGTCTTGTCCACGCGTTTCTT